CTTTTGTATAGATACCGATATAAATTCAGCGCTGTGTAACGACATCAGCATGAAGAGATCAGTGTTCTGGTATTACACAAGTTTAACATCCTATCTCCGTACACGCTGAATCTATTATGACGTGCCTGTTGATATCTGGTTGCTTTATTCACACACGTATCGTTTTTATTTTCTCCGAATTAAAGAGCATGATAATACATAATAAATGCATACATTGAAACAATTTTAATACATGATAATGCATTATTTACAAAATGACAACAATCGTGACGTTCATACAAGTTCACAAGCAAACAACGGTTTCCCGATTTTCATTTGACAGATATAAAGAAATTGCAAACGGGTTTTCCTAGAACACAGTGGAGGCGGTCGTGGACGTGGAGCCATGTTTGTGTTGTTGTATTTTGTATTGGCTAATAATATTAAATGATGACAGCACCACATGATGGTATACATACAAGCCTAGCATTGAGGTTCGTATTGCCCTAATAAACAGATTTCTTAAAATATACATGACATATTGGCAGGTTCGGCCAATGCCATACACGGGAAGCCTGACATTGCGGGAAAATAGGACGTTGCATGCTTTATGACGTCATAATTATGCATGTACCCAAGGTATCCTGTCGAACTTACCCCAAGGCGGTGCACATTAGGCCATACACTCTTCCAACAGTAAAGAGTTTAATAACTCTTCAAATACGTGTATGCTTGCCATTCTGTTATAGTTTTATGAAGGACATGGACTTTTCTCTTCCGAATGGTGTAAATACACATAAATTTTATCAAATACTGTCCAGAACGACTTTAAATATTGAAAATGGGCCAAACTTGCCCCTGTTTACCTACCCGATATTTTGAAAGAAAATCCCACAGGCTGGCAGGGGTTTGGGTAGGGATGAGGAATCCTTATAGTTATTCCCCCCCCCCCCCCCCCCCCCCATTAAAAAGAAAAAATATAGAATGGTATATTGAATTATGCAATGATTGGATTCTAGCTATCTGCCGACTGTGCATAATATGAAACAGTTAATTTATGCAGATACATGTGTTCCCGCTGAACTAGGTCTCACCTACTATATTACACATGACAGAAAAGTGCGTCGGACAAAATTTGACAATCGAACATCAAAGATGAAAACAGGATAAAGAAAATACTCTCATCTCGCCTTGGGGACATAAAATCATAAACTCTGGCTCATTCCAAGGATTCAGTAATACTAAAAACGAAACAACAGCATTATGTCCTCAAACTGGGACTTAACCAGCTACTATAGACTGGTGGTTTAGGATATAAAAGCAGGCTATAAGAATATTTTGCCTGAAATCAGGAAACAAACTATGCAGGCTGTTGATCTCTTTTTAACACACCTTGTGTGTCATGAATGTATCAATAAAATTTGAAATAAATCTTGAAAATCTTGGAAGTGTATAAGAAAGCCTTCACAATCGTGACGTTCATACAAGTTCACAAGCGAACAATGGTTTCCGTTTTTCATTTTACAGATGTAAGGAAATTGCAAACGGGTTTTCCTAGAATATATACTGGAAGCGGACGTGGACGTGGGGCCATGTTTGTGTTGTTGTTTGTTATTTTGGCTAGTCGTGTAAACCTACACTCCTTATAATAATATGTATTGTACCTAGTTACAATGCACATCTCTAATATAAGTCAGGTATATACCTTATTCTGGTATCCTCTGACCTCTATCATGTATCCCCTACCGTCTACTGTCTAACCATATCGTTTCCCTGTTGTCTCGGGAAAAGGTTGCAGATCGTCTCCAAAGCGGTTGCTGACGTGTGACAATACAAATATGAAAATCAATTTCTAAATTCGCTTCCTGAGGGGAAAACAGTATAGCGTCATCGTTCTGATTCAAATGACAGTGCGCAATTACCTTTGCACGTTAAGTATAAGATCACGGGGGCCATATGTTGGCCAACGTGCCGTTCGAATGCAATGGCTGAAATGACCGCACACTTTGTAACGTTTTTGTAAGAGGTTTCCCCAGATCCGTTATAACGCCAAAAGCTCAAAGTGAACAGGTGGCAGTTGTAACGACGTATTGTTTAAAAGTTAATAGTACAGTTTTGAGTTGCCGTCAAACCGTATCCATCATCATATTTCAAGGTCATATATCCTTTTTTTCCTAACAATTTCGTTATGTCTCCCCAATCTATCGCCAGACTTGTTATAATACCATAAGGACACACGTTTACAGGTGGCAGTATAGCGACGTCTTATGGTACTGAATCCACCCTGATCGGACATCTCAGTAATATGTCACAGATACTGTAAATATTACAAAGAATATATTTTGTAGCTTATTAGCGCATCTTATTAATGGGAATGTCCCCAGATTGAAGTGAGTTTGATTAGTAATTGATTAACATACATTCATTAATATCTAATACTCTTTTCATGTTTTCACATATTGGGCTGATATGATGTTTCCTGTCAGGTGCGACCCAATTGGTGAAAAGTGAGAAAAAAAACTTTCGCTTACATGCGGAGGTCATTAGTTGAAATGGCCCAGATTAGAATGAGTTTGAAAAATAAGATACTAACATACAGTGATTAATGGATTTATTACACTTTTCATATTTTCAAATATGGGGTTGATATGAATAGCCCTAGCAGGTGCAACCCATTCGTGAAAATTGGAAAAAAAGATCTATTCTTATTTGCTACGGATAGTATTAGTTGAAATGGCCCAGATTAAAGTGAGTTGGAAAAGTAAGTAATTAACACACAGTAATTACTAAATACATTTTTCATGTTTTTACATATTGGCCCGGCATGTGCGACCCAATCGTGAAAAGTGAAAAATATCTATATTAATAGTTTTTGCTTATCAGCGGATCTCATAGTTGGAAATGGTCCTCAGTATAGTTATTTTGAGAGAAAAACAATTACCAATATGCAATGTAATTAATGGATTTAATACACTTTTTATGTTTTTACATACGTGTCACGTGACGTTGAGATATATTGGTTTTGTAAGGCATCAGCTCTCAAAAAGTTTGCTAAAAACGTAGTGTAAAAGTGGATATATCCGGCCAAAAATGAGTGATAGGCGACAGGGATGTCGTGTAAGAGGAGGTTTTCTCAACACGGACAGGAGCTACTTGGTGAGCATAGGGAACGAAATGGCCACGATGTGTTTACAACGGTCAAATCTGAACGACAAAGAAAAAGCATGGTTGGTGACAGATTGGACACTGGTCTGGACTTAACAAAGTTTGACTCTTTCTCAGTGGATGAAAAGCTAAACATGATGATGGGGAAATCACTAAAACGTATGGGACTGAGAGCACGCTGAGTAAGGTCAGTCAAAACGTAGAGACTAGGCTAGATGATATTGAGGCGATTCAGGAGGACCTCGGTAACCTAGAGGACAGAATACAAAACGTAGACACTAGGCTAGATGATATTGAGGAGATTCAGGAGGACCTCGGTAACCTAGACAACAGAATACAATACGTAGACACTAGGCTAGATGATATTGAGGAGATTTAGGAGGACCTCGGTAACCTAGAGGACAGAATACAATACGTAGACACTAGGCTAGATGATATTGAGGAGATTCAGGAGGACCTCGGTAACCTAGAGGACAGAAAACAATACGTAGACACTAGGCTAGATGATATTGAGAAGATTCGGGAGGACCTCGGTAACCTAGAGGACAGAATACAATACGTAGACACTAGGCTAGATGATATTGAGGAGATTCGGGAGGACCTCGTTAACCTAGAAGACAGAATGCAATACGCAGAGTACAGACCTATAGACTTAGAGGACTGATGTCTTCGTAAGAATTTAATTATCTGCGGAATTTCCAGTTCAGAGGATGTTAGCGTCATCAGTGTGGTTTACAATTTTATTAAAAAGAATTTGAAAATAGAAAACGGTGACAGTATGGAACTGATTTCACATGTTTCCCGTTACACAGAACGGAGTACTTACGAGATACAAAACGAAAAGCTGGCGGTCTCGATGTTTATGTAAGAGATACTATCTCTTAGGGTATTAAGCTAGTAAGTTAAACCAATCCAAACTGATGACACAGTTATTCTTGAATTATCTAAAAGTTACTTCGGCTTTGAAAATGACTCTATCTCTGTTTGTGTTATGTATGACCAGTTAATTCTGGCAGAAGGAGATTTATAAATGTAGATATATTTGATCGTTTACACAATTTAAATTTGAATACTATTAATAAAAATGCAGAGACCTGTGATTTCATAGTTACGGATGCGAAGTGTGCGGATTTCAATCTGCAACAGCGATTGAAAATTGCATTAAAATTTGTGTTATCGTTTATTAGGGGTAAAGTCGTCTACCCAAACTAATTTCATTGATGGGGAACTCGGATGTACGCTGGTTTGGTTTAATTTTTTAAACGTCCTACTAACAGCTTATGTCATTTAAGGACGTGCCTCGGTGTGTGTATTGTGCCGAAGGCACCAAGTACAGAATTCTCCCGGCCACAATTTACTGACAACGGGCGAACCAGTATATTGCCATTACCCGAGATGTTGAACGTTTAGCAGGGAATAACTACCATTTTAAGTACTTTGGTATGCCCCCGCTAGGGACAAAACCCATTGCCCTCCTCACATTGGCCCTTCATCTTGTAAACAAGTGGGTTATTCTGTATAAACAAGGATAGCACTTGATCTTGTAAACAAGTGGGTTATTCTGTATAAACAAGGATAGCCCTTGGTCCTGTAAACAAGTAAGTTGTTCTGTATAAACAAGGATAGACCTTAATCCTGTAAACAAGTGTATTTATTAGGGCAGGAGCGTCGCCACGTAGAGAAATACTGGGAAATAAACCCCTGTGAATACAACAAGCCATTGAATAATACAACAGCATGATTGACAGTCGGTAAATCGGTATAATATCTAGTCCGCGTATAATAATTATACAATAATGATTTGTCCGCGTTCTAATAATAATAAACCAATAAACTAATTCAAATATATAACATACCTCTGACTAACTTGTTGACACGTAGTCTGGATATAAATGGTCTCTATCAATGGTAGAACTGTCTGACGTGGAGTCCCGTAGGTCGTCGACCGTCTATACCTTGTTAGTGCGCCACTCTCCCGAAAAACTCCACTTCATACGCTCACAAACACGCCCCTATTCACGTTCAAACACGCATGAATGTATTTCACACTCTGACACACCTGGACACAACTGGACAAACTGGTTACAGTTAATTATAGACGCAATTAGACACACAGGTAAACAGAGAACACTCCCTGTAACCAGTAACACACATGAATAAACATGACAGAATACATTTCAATATTCAAATTGACTGTGGGATCTCTTGTTATCATTCATATTTTTAGATAGCACTGGGATCGTGAGGAAATCTCTATACAGAGGTGGACTCACAGATAACACTGGGACCGTGAGGAAATCTCTATATAGAGGTGGACTCACAGATAACACTGGAACCGTGAGGAAATCTTTATATAGAGGTGGACTTACAGATAACACTGAGACCGTGAGGAAATCTCTATATAGAGGTGGACTCACAGATAACACTGGGACCGTGAGGAAATCTCTATATAGTGGTGGACTGACAGATAACACTGGGACCGTGAGGAAATCTTTATATAGAGGTGGACTCACAGATAACACTGGGACCGGGAGGAAATCTCTATATAGAGGTGGACTCACAGATAACACTGGGACCGTGAGAAAATCTCTATATAGAGGTTGACTCCCAGATAACACTGGGACCGTGAGGAAATCTCTATAAAGAGGTGGACTCACAGATAACACCGGGACCGTGAGGAAATCTCTATATAGAGGTAGACACAGAGATAACACTGGGACCGTGAGGAAATCTATAGATAGAGGTGGACGCACAGATAACACTGGGACCGTGAGGAAATCTCTCTATAGAGGTGGACTCACAGATAACACTGGGACCTGGAGGAAATCTCTATATAGAGGTGGACTCACAGATAACATTGGGACCGTGAGGAAATCTCTATATAGAGGTGGACTAACAGATAACACTGGGACCGTGAGGAAATCTCTCTAAAGAGGTGGACTCACAGATAACGCTGGGACCGTGAGGAAATCTCTATATAGAGGTAGACACAGAGATAACACTGGGACCGTGAGGAAATCTATATATAGAGGTAGACTATAACACTGGGACCGTGAGGAAATCTTTATATAGAGGTGGACTCACAGATAGCACTGGGACCGTGAGGAAATCTCTATATAGAGGTAGACACAGAGATAACACTGGGACCGTGAGGAAATCTATAGATAGAGGTGGACGCACAGATAACACTGGGACCGTGAGGAAATCTCTATAAAGAGGTGGACTCACAGATAACACCGGGACCGTGAGGAAATCTCTATATAGAGGTAGACACAGAGATAACACTGGGACCGTGAGGAAATCTATATATAGAGGTAGACTATAACACTGGGACCGTGAGGAAATCTTTATATAGAGGCGGACTCACAGATAACACTGGGACCGGGAGGAAATCTCTATATAGAGGTGGACTCACAGATAACATTGGGACCGTAAGGAAATCTCTATATAGAGATGGACTCACGTATAACACTGGGACCGTTAGGAAATCTCTATACAGAGGTGGACTCACAGATAACACTGTGACCGTGACGAAATCTCTATATAGAGGTGGACTCACAGATAGCACTGGGACCGTGAGGAAATCTCTATACAGAGGTGGACTCACAGATTACACTGGGACCGTGAGGAGTCTCTATACAGAGGTGGACTCACAGATAACACTGGGACCGTGAGGAAATCTCTATATAGAGGTGGACTCACAGATAACACTAGGACCGTTAGGAAATCTTTATATAGAGGTGGACTCACAGATAACACTGGGACGGTGAGAAAATCTCTATATAGAGGTGGACTCACAGATAACACTGGGACCGTGACGAAATATCTATATAGAGGTGGACTCACAGATAACACTAGGACCGTTAGGAAATCTCTATATAGAGGTGGACTCACAGATAACACTGGGACCGTGAGGAAATCTCTATATAGAGGTGGACTCACAGATAACACTGGGACCGTGAGGAAATCTCTATATAGAGGTGGACTCACAGATAACACTGGGACCATGAGGAAATCTCTATATAGAGGTGGACTAACAGATAACACTGGGACCGTGAGGAAATCTATATATAGAGGTGGACTCACAGATAACACTGGGACCGTGAGGAAATCTCTATATAGAGGTGGACTCACATATAACACTGGGACCGTGAGGAAATCTCTATATAGAGGTGGACTCACAGATAACATTGGGACCGTGACGAAATCTATATATAGAGGTGGACTCACAGATAACACTGGAACCGTGAGGAAATCTCTATATAGAGGTGGACTCACAGATAACACTGGGACCGTAAGGAAATCTCGATATAGAGGTGGACTCACAGATAACACTGGGACCGTGAGGAAATCTCTATATAGAGATATTTTCACAGATAACACTGGGACCGTGAGGAAATCTATATATAGAGGTAGACTCACAGATAACACTAGGACCGTGAGGAAATCTCTATATAGAAGTGGACTCACAGATAACACTGGGACCGTGAGGAAATCTCTATATAGAGGTGGACTCACAGATAACACTGGGACCGTAAGGAAATCTCTATATAGAGCTGGACTCACAGATAACACTGGGACCGTGAGGAAATGTATATATAGAGGTTGACTCACGTCATTAACTGATCAAAATTTTAAATGACATTATCTTATATCATAAACATACCATGATTCATATGATATACTCTAGAAACACACACAGGCTTATACTCCAATTTCCCGCTAATAAAAATATAATATTTTATACATGTATTTTATACACGAACTAACACACTGTCGTATTTTATTTATGCATGCTTGTTATGTTTCTCTTAATGATGAAACGTTGTCTTATATTAAAAGCCTTTAGTGTTATCATGTTAAACCATGTACCGACTAATAAATAAAGTTCACTTGACTTGACGTCTGTCTTTTAACCTTTAAGTTTTTTTGATGTTTTTATCTTGTGTTGGTTTTTTCGACCGTTTGTTGGCCCTACAGACCTATCTAGTGTTGTTGGGCCGTTAAGCATTTGATGATAGTAATTATCAACGTTTTAATGATGTGTCTGTTTTCGCCATTGACATTTTTACACTTATTTTGCTAATGAAGATTTTGTTGGTGACCGGCTAGGACTGATGTGTGGCCATGGTGACCGGCTAGGACTGATGTGTGGCCATGGTGACCGGCTAGGACTGATGTGTGGCCATGGTGACCGGCTAGGACTGACGTGTGGCCATGGTGACCGGCTAGGACTGACGTGTGGCCATGATGACCGGCTAGGACTGACGTGTGGCCATGATGGCATTGTTGTGTACACGTTTTGTTAAATTACCGACTCTCTTGTATCAAGGGTTTGTTGAGATTTCTGTGTAACCTTTTTGTACTGTAGCGTGTTCAAATTCATTCTGAATTGTTCTTTTTATTGTTGAATCCTTTCCTGTCGTAATCGGGTTTTTTTTATTTTATAAAAGCGAAAAAAATACAAAAAATATCCTCTTTTCAACAAAAACAAGATATTTTTGATAACAAAATTCAGGTCAAGTTTAGTGATAGCCTTGAGGGAGACTTCTATCCCATCTATATAAACCACTATCGGGAGAATGACAGATTGCACTTTGTTGGTTTAAACTCCTTAAATGTCTTATAATACTTTCTATACATGGGATAGGTTTAATTAACCTACAGTGATAAATTTCGTATTAAGGGTTTGTTGAGACTCCTGTTTAACCTATTTGTATTGTAGCGTGTTCAGATTGACGTTTGGTTCTGAATGCCATTATTGTGTTCGGTCCTTTGATCCAAACACACCAACTAGGATATGTTCCCATGTCCATGTGACTGGAATTAAGAAAGGTACTTATTACCATGGCAAAGAAAGTGTAACACTAGCAATTTAGACTTAAATAGCACAGTGTCATGATACATTGTAGCACTTTCAGTTATGTTTCGGTGGTTAAAGGGACACAACTCAAGTAAAAATCACAATATTTACTGGTGGTTACGTACGATATCAGTATCTGTTGTTTTGGTCTAACGCCAGGATCCGGGACTTTGTACTGTCTGTCGATCATATCATGTGATATACCCGTAACAAGGAAGTGTACAGTTAAAGTCGTACCGACACAGTAACAAAATCGTGGCAGTTCACAGTTTGTAGGCTAAGTATTCCTTCAACTCATCAAAGTACCAACACCATGGCAAGTAACAGATCCGTGCGGCGTGCCCAGGAACCCGTTACCTACACGTGTGCTTTGTGTGACAGTGAAGACGAGGTACGATGGTATTGTAACGACTGTCAGGAGAACTTGTGTGACCGGTGTAAGGAATTCCATTCACGCGGAAAGAAAACTAAAAACGATGACGTAGTATCGATAGGGGACGCTAACCGTCAGGGCGACAAGCCTGTACCAGAGGTATGTAAACTACATCCCGGTAAACAGCTTGATCTCTTCTGTTCGGACTGCAACGAGTTTCTTTGTGGGATATGTTTATCTAAAATTCATAAACACCACAACTGGAAACCTTTTGAAGACGAATTTTCTTCTAAATTGCAACATTTGAAAGAGCATATGGCAGCAATTTCTACCAAAATAAAACATTTCAAGAACGAGACATCAAAGCGACATCATGATAACGAAGGGTTCAATGACAACATTGATACAGTGAGGAAAGAAGTGAACTCTAAAAGGACAAAGTTAAAGGCAGAGGTAGATTATATCGCTGATGGAATACTCGCTGAACTGTCGGCTTTAGAAAAAGAAGAATCAACAATGAACAAGAAAGATTGTCAGCGATCAGAGAAAAAAGTCGAAGAACTGACGCGTCTGCTTAACGAAGCGGAAATGACAGATACATCAAGTGTATCTTTGTTTGAAACAGAAAGGTCATTGAGGAAAAAGCTGCCACTGTATGACGTTAATGTGAGATATGTTTCACCAAAACAACCAAGGTTTGTTACCGAAAGTATCGACCGTGTCATGTTGACGAAAACGTTTGGTAAAGTACACCACGAGAACCAGTACGAGAAGATAGACATCGACAGTAAACACGTTCAACGTCTCTCTAAGTTTAGTGTTCCTCAAAGGCATCAGCCATTCAGTATATGTCCAGTCGACGACAGCCATGCGTGGTTATCAATGCATCAATACCAGCGTCTGGTACTGGTCAACAAGAAGGGTGTGGTCAAAGAGTCAATAAAACTGGACTTCTGTCCTTTCCTAATCACCATGGTCGGGACAACAGACATACTTATGACCAGTGATCCACGTAGAACATTTGTATATAAACTATCACTACACAACAAACAAGTGACAACATTTGCTGACATCAGACCACATCAGTCACATGACGTCGGTATCAACGAGTGGGGCGAGGTGTTTGTTAGTACAGATACACCAGAAATAGTGGTACTGAATCAGTCAGGTACGATTATAAGGAAGGTCGCGATTGGATCGGAAAAAATACTGGACATTGTCTGCTTGTCATCGGGACGTCTGTGTGTAGTTCACACAATTAGAGGAAGCTTGGCTGATAGGCACATGAAGATAACAGACGAGTCAGGTACCGTCATACAGACATGGACTGGTGATCTCGACAACAGCCAAAAGGGCGATAGAATGAACCTCTATAATATGTCATGTGATAAGTACGATAGAGTCTTTGTACCAGATAACCACAACAACCAGGTGTACGTCCTACCGAGAGACGGTAAACAAGCCATGTGTCTCCTGAACCAGACACACGGAGTTGTGAGACCTTCAGCATTGGGTGTGGACACGTGTGGAAACGTATGGATCGGGTGTGAGGACGGCACCGTACACGTGATGGGGCTGTAGCACGAAGTAAAAATGATACAGTTCAATGATACACTGTGTTAATATAACTCCACGGTAGTTCACCGATGTATGAAGTATCAAATATTGAACCAGATTGAACAATCATTTGAACAGTGGATTTATTTTTGTCATGTCAGTGATCATCTTACAAACATAAGAAACTCGATCGTTTCATCCGACAGACAATACATGGTCATTGGACTGATCAACGAGTAAGTACGTTAGCTAGAATGTGGCCTTTGTTTTGTGTGTTTTTAATTAATTTATTTTTTTACATTTTGAAATTTTTCATTTTATCTTTAAAATGTTTCTTAATGGTTAGTTTCTCGAACAATTGTTTCCTAGCGACCTAAACCTCCAAATACGTGTTATCAAATGGTTTTAGATTTGACTATTTTTAAGCAAAAGAAGAAAATGCTATATCCGGTTATCTACCCTTATATTTTGTGCATACCCTTTTGTATTGATTTTCAAGGAAGAAATGTTGAAGTAAAAACCACTCTTCTAAATATATTTTTTAAATGAAATACTGTGTCTAATAACCCTTTTTTTGTAGATAAACGAAAGTGAATATTAAACAATTGTCCATTAATGTGTGTTTCACAGATGTTTACAAAACGTGATTAACCTGTAAATGTAAGGTAATACAGGTTTAGTTCAGTTGTTTTATACCTTGTAATATTGAAATATAACAAGAACGACTAATACATATTGATTTGTATTTCCATTTTTAAACCTTTAAGTAGACATATAGATATTATGCTAAATAAAACCTTTGACATTGTAGTACTGCTGTGTCTTTGTTGTTTATGGTATATATAAGTATAAGGATATTTGATTATAGGTTTGCTTCTTTATGTTGTATTTTTGTATTTCGACTCATTCTGAATATTTCTTTTTATTGTAAATTCCTTTCCTGTCATAATCGGGTTTTTTATTTTATAAAAGCAAAAGAGATACAAAAATATCCACTTTTCAACAAAAACAAGATTTTCCTTCTGTAAGTTAACAAAATAAGAAATATATTTCTGATAACAAAATCAGTTGAAGATTAGTTATAACCTTAAGGGCGACTATATAAACCACTATCGGTGGAATGGCAGATTGCACTTTGTTGATTTAAACTCCTTAAATGTCTTATACTTACTATATATAGGATGGGTTTAATTAACCTACAGTGAGATATTATCAGGACCCTATGAACAGGCTGCTATATTGGGGGCTATGTATATACCAAACAAAAACCAAGACATTAGGTCCAGATATACAATGTACCAACTGTGATTAATTGTCGACCACCACCAAACAAGACATAAAGATAGGTCTAAACATACCCACATTGATTGATCACCAGGCCCCTATGAACAGGCTTATTAGAGTAACATATGAGCAGGATAGGTCCAAACATTCCTACAATGATAAATTATCAGTACCCTGTAAACAGACTTGTTAGAGTAACATATGATCAGGATAGGTTCAAACATACCCAAAGTGATGATGAATCCTTAGGCCCCTGTGGACAAGCTTTCTAGAGTAACATATGAGCAGGATAGGTTCAAACATACCTACAATGATAAATTATCAGTTCCTTGTAAACAGACTTGTTAGAGTAACATATGATCAGCATAGGTTTAAACATACCCAAAGTGATGATGAATCCTTAGGCCCCTGTTAACATATGATCAGGACCTATAGTAATAAATTATCAGGTCCCTGTGAACAGGTTTAAAAGAGCAACATAGTATCAGGTTAGGTTCAAACATGCTTACATTGATAAATTAGCATGTCCCTGAGAACAGCCTTCTGAGAGTAACATGGGAACTATGATAGGTTCAAACATTCCTACAGTGATACATTATCAGGTCCCTGTGATCAGGCTTATTAGAAAAACATATGACAAGGATAGCTTCAAATATACTTACAGTGATCAATTATCATGTCCCTGTGTCCGGGCTCCTGTATCTATATGCAGACTAGCACGACAGAAAATGACTAAGTCTGGTATCAGGGCCAGAGGAAACTAGGGCAAACTAGGACTGACTATTAAAATAAAGATATTCGAGCGATATTAAAAATAGTATCAGTAAAATATTCAGAGCAAAAAATGCTGAGATCTTTTGCTTTATCTATTTAGATAATTCTGTCTTTATTTAGATTTTTTGTCAACAATATGTGGAAGATAATAAGGGATATGATATGAAAACGAAATAATGTTTTCGACAATATCTTTGGATTGGCAATAGAATACAACTATTACCTGACGCATTTTCCTATCGTTTTGAATCTTATTTTTTACCTGGGGACACAACACTGGACATGTTTCTATACCAGGATTTTGACTATAAAACCCAGAGTGAATAACAATCAAATCATTCGCATATATATATATCAAAACCGACCAATCACTGAACGATAAAAGGTGGGTTTTTTGCCTTTTATTTGGCACGAGGCTGGTTAATTATGTCATACCTGTATCACATAACAATGAAGAGTAAGTAGACGAAGTTACGATAACACCGTTGTGGAGGAACTGACAGAGCCAAGTGGCTTACACTTCTGAAACACCTGCTCATATATTATCCTTGTGTTTCTTAATGAACTAAATGTAAAGCTTCCTTTGTTCATATTTGGCTCTGATCTTATGTTTTCGAATTATATGATATTCTCTTCCTGTCTTTTCTACGTCAATGCTATTTCATTAATATGCAATGCCGAGGACACCCAGCAAAGTATTCTGTCCGGTCACATTCTAACGTTAAGATTGCGATTGTTTATAATATCTGTAGAACAGGGACCTCTGCACGAACCCATGTGATTATGTTCTCGTAGTGTTTGTACTGATATAGTTACTTATCTTTCCGTTTCTGTTTTTCAAACACTTCCATTAGTCATTGTCATGTCTATTCAAAAGATCTGTATGTATTTAATTCATGGTACGTTTTCAGAAATGCATTCTCCAGTCCTATATGGCTCTTATTCACATTTGAATAAGTAACGCAAAACAGAATAAATATCTTTTGGTTTACATAATTTACTGACATCATGTGATATATTTTCATGAAATGTAATGAAGAGATTTTTATTGTAAGGACACTAGAGCCGTGATATGTAAAGTTTATGTATATATAATATACTTCTGATGACCTGGTGAACGATTTCTTTTAAACTGTGTGAGAATCATCCTAAGTAGTAGTAGGAATCAAGTTGTCAATCTTAAGTTCCAACCTAAATCCAGTGTTCCGCAAGAGTAGCTTCTCGTGTTTCATCGACAACAACTGTCATGTAAATCTAGATCAAATCAAAGTCATGTCACGTTCTAACATCACAAACCTGAGTACCGACAACAAAACCACACTAATAAGCATAATCAAAAACATCACAAAAAGAAATAGCAATTTTCCAACAAAAATGGTTTAAAATTCCAAAATCTTCTTTATCAGACTCCAATTTACCAGAATAATGGATGGAAAGGTCCTTCGATGATTTATCAATATAATCAATTCCATTTCCTCGCATCACACATTCTTCCCATTGGCAAGGGGTACAGTTTACTTCAGTATAAGGGAATATCACTTTTGGGTTTGTTTTGGTAATTTTAGTGGGAAACTTGATTAGGAATGAGAAAGAAAGAGCCCATGATAATTTTTAAAAACAGTTCATGTAGATGTGCAATAGGGTTTTTATAAGATTTCAATGTGAAGGATTCTGTTACGATACATATACTGGGGGTCGTTAGGCGCATGGTTCGGTAAATATTCCCTTCCCCGGATGACATGCTGAGTACTGCAGTTTTCTTTGTTAGTCAACGCTTCACGTCTAAACAAGGGGAAATAACTAGATTATAGCTCAGATGACCGTTAAGGCCCATGGGCCTCTTGTATAATTCACAAACACCTACAAATCTGACTGTTGGCAGTTTTTAAACGAAGTGGTCAACATCTTCATAACCACCTGGTTTACTGCACTTACAATGTTAAACTCTTCAATAAATGCCGTAATACGTTCACTATTCCAATTGCAGGTGAAGATATAAAGTAAGTTTTTTGTTGACATACCCTACTCTCACCCAATGCAAACATTGACAAAACTTCACCTCAAGTATGGCGTCAGACACGAGGATATATGACTATTGACTTTGAGCTGTCAAAATCCTTAGAGGATTCATACATTGATTTATTGCTTAGGAGTGTTGGTATTGCATATTTGTGTTGGGATGTTTGTTCACTTTAATAAATATACTGAAATAAAAGCTCATGTATAATCCCACTGTACTACCCCTGCAGGTCGACGATCAAAACGACAATACGCCTGCTGTTTCCCCCTGCAGAAATGGGGATTAGAGTATGTGCAGTTCCCCAATTCTGTAGGAGGTTCCCAATTTAGTCGCTTCTTACGACCACGCAGTAAGTATCAGCAGGTATATTCTTGTATTGATCTCCGACCTGAAGGATTAACGCACGGTGGCATGACTTAGTCTGTTAATAGGATACTGGTTTATAAATGAAGCTACCCGGTAGAGTTATGCTCATGAATTTAAGATAATTATGCTCCTTCTAGCGACCGTAACACATTCTCTGAAGCTTATTGAGAGCACTTTCTTAAATATAAATATATATGTACAATCTAGTATGGCAGTCACTCTGTCTCACAAGAATGTTTCCTAGAATACAGGATTGTATGAAAATATGTTCCCTACTCAAATGGTCAGGACGAAGGAACACTGGAACTATAGATTTAAAGGTTTTTGGAATATAAGGCAGAGAAATACCAAGAGCGGAACACTTAATTACAAGAGATATCAGTTTTTATCTTAACCAAAAACAGTAAAAGAACATTTTGTGCAGTTTTGGTATATACTGAAGAAGAAAGAAATGGGGCAAATTACATATGGATTTTGAGAAACTGTTCTTTGACCAACCTATTCTTGCTTTGCAGCCAGGGTCATCCAAGAGACAAAAATTCAGAATGAAGGCTGATTGAATCTTTGACAAGATGTACGACACTTCTAAAAGGTCACCAATTATTTCAGATGACTACCTTCATGATTGAGCGTTCAAAGACTCTCTTCCTTATAGGATAACCTGTGTACAAGGGTTTAGGTAATTGCCAATAAGATGAAGTTAATTCATATTGTTAAAACAAAGACAACATTTTATATGTGAACAGGATTCGTAAAACAGGTCCTTGATTGTTAAAAAAAACCACTACTAGTGGTTCCAACTTCATACCGTTCTGTTTCAAATTCTCTTTAGTCTCTAAGTCAGTATATCCAAGAGCCATTATAGATTATTATTTTTACATTTTGTGTACCTTTACATTTACGAGATTTCGCGAAGATAGGATGGCGACCTCCACCAATACATTTACTCTTCATTATGAGATGAGTATTAACAACTGAGTATGAAATATCCCCTAAAAGCAATATAAAACGAAAATCTGATGATAAAATGTATAAAAAAATTATAACAAAATGTATAAGAACAAATTCTAAAAAGTGACAAAAAAATTACATTTGATCTCAAAATTGATTGTTAACAAAATATGTATCAATCACGCCGAGCGATGAAATAAATTGGAATTTGGAATTTTTTGTGACCTAACATGCACTGAAAGATTTATTGTAGGCTTGTAACGAATTTCGTAACCAATTACCTGTAATCAGGTGCATTGCTTTTTAAGTGGACGCCAGGGATGTGTCTTAAGCCCTTACCTTTTTGGGCACACTGGATACTTTGTTGTGTGAAATGAATACTTTCCACCTTCCACCACATT